TTTATCATCACTGGTGGCGAAGTTGTTTTAGAATGATGAAATTTTTATCTTTATTTCCAGGATGATGAAATATCCTTATCATCATTCATCACTGGTGGAAAGGTTGTTTTAAGAATGATAAAATATCATCATCATTCTGGATCATAACAGTCTGAACTAGTGGATCTAAGGAACGTAACTCAATACATTTGCCATAGAAATAGCGATAGGCGAAGAAACGTTTCGTCTTTTTGACGCGTTTATGTTCATTCAATATTTTCAATTCAATTGATATTTTCAAATTGGAATTGGGAAACAAAAGTAGAAGGAACTGCTTCTTGTAATTATAAATCCAGATGCTTACAATGTTTGTGCCTGGATTCACATCCACGTTGTGAAGACATCATAAAACAAAGATGAGATTAAAAAAGTAAAAAGTGAGAGAAAAAAATCCTGCTTTTTCGACACTTTATAATCTTTACCACAGACGATTGTACTGTGATTTTTCCAGATCAGGAAAACAACCAGAAAAATTCACCCTGCACATCAACCCGCCTTTTACAAAATTTTACCGGTTTCTTGCTCTCTCAAAACAAAGAATATGAATGAATAAAGCAAAAACAGTAAATATTTAGGTACCACCAAAATGGATGCGTTTTATCCGAATTTTTTTTCTTTTTAGAAATTCGGGAAATAATCAGATTGAAACGAGATTTTTACTACTTATTGATTGATAAATGGATTGTATGCTGAATACGTTATTTTCTTAGAAAACTTTATGAAAATATTTTGGGGGTCAGTTTTCGGTATCTTGTGTGTATTTTTGATTTGGGGGTGGTTACGAAATTTTTTACAGTTATATAAAGAAAAATAACTGAAGATGTTATTTCAGTGAAAAAAAAACTCTATGCACATTGTGAACATACGGAAAATTCGTCCCGAACCTTACCAAAAATAATACAATAAAAATCAAAAAAATAATTCAATAAAAGTAAAACTCAGAAAAAATATTTTTGAGTCTTGTAACTTGCATAATTTAATAAAACACATTGTTTTCTTTCAGATTACACAGAAAAAAAATCTATAATGAATATTTTTTAAATGTTTGTAATTTCTCAATGTGATTTCTAAATTCGTCCCGTTGCTGTTCATAACAAGAGTTTGTTTTTATTAAGTAAAAACCCATTTGAAAAATCGAAAATATAAAATTTAAAATTCCATTTTCGAGTGTGAATCTTGTTTTAAAAGATTGTTTTTATTTTAGTAACTACTAGGTTATTTTTTAAATAGATGTTCAAAAATAAAATAATTCTGAATTACAGTTTTTGATTGAATACGCTTTTTTAACGGAAGAGTTATATAACTGAATAACTTCAGAATAATTTTTTTAAAGACCATAATGAGTGAAATTAATTATTTTATAATATCAAATAAGTAAGAAAATAATAAAACGGAAATGTTTTAAATTCAAAAGTATCATTGAATTAAATAAAAATACTTATAGGTTAGTATAAAAATAAAATTATTTACTCTACTAAGGTTCAGAAAAGTATGTAGAATAAAAATTATATTCTTAAAATATTGGTTATATAAGGCTAAAAATAATTTATTTTTAAACATAAATACCAATTTCTTGATTGTTGCACTGCTGGTGTTCCGTATTTATTTAATTTTTTCGCGCGCTTTTTAAAAGAGAGGTTACAGTAGAAAATTATAATTCTTGACCTACGACCTCACAGACTACCGTCCGTAAAAAGACATTATTTTCCTTGTTTTATGCAAAAAGTAAACATTACATTTTTTACAAAATCCGATCAATGAGTCCTTAAATTTACTGAGATCGAATCACGTATATCGAAAAAATATTGGATTTTTAAAAGATTTTTAAATTTCTTGTTTACATTTTTCGTCTATGGCGGTTGGATTAATAGACATACCATGTTATAAAAATGCCTAAAACTTTATTTATGTACGGAAATTTATTTTTCTTTTAATACAGATTAGCTTTAGGCTATTATCTTTCAAATAAAAAAAAAATAACACTTACCTAAGAAGATATTAAAAATGCTTGTATTTCGCGTTTTTTAGAAAGTCCGTGGCTTTCAATTGAATTAATAATAATAATTCTATATCCTGTGGCGGTTTTCAAAGTACAGACTTGTTCGCTACATATGAAAGTTTTTCCTTTCATTACTTCGTTGTTTTTTGGGTTTTTTTTTTTAAGTTTGTTTGGACTGGAGTTACCAAACTAGACGTAAAACAATAAATACCATCAACTTGGCACAATGTTTAGAATTGCATTCTGGAATTCCACGCTAACATGGCGAAGCTAAATCGCTTGGAAGTCATTCACATCATAGTTTTAGCTCTGATTTTTCTTTTAAAAATTATTGGCACAATATGAAAATGGTACGGTTTCTTTCATTTTTTTTTTTTTTCACTTGATTTTTTTTTTTTTTTTTTTGGTCTGTTTTCCCCGAGAAGGAATTTCAACAGTTTTCATTACAATGTTAATGTGAAAGACATCTAAATATAATTAAAAAGTTGAATAATTTCCATCAATTAAATAATTTTAAAAAATTAATTCTCTTTCTTATAATTGTTTTATTGCCTTAAACTTTCTGATTTTTATTATTTAAAACTAAATAATTCAAAAATAAAATGCAATGAAAAATTATGAACAGTAATAATTTAAATACATCATCTTAAATACATAATATTACTTCATAAAATTAGTTCAACTAAAATTTCAAAAAGAGGGCAAACTACAAGAGAAAATAATTTCTTCACTTTAATTTAAAAAAAAAAATTTAACATTTATCCTGAAGTGTACAAGAACTGAGGAAAAATGTAATATAATTAAAAATTAAAATAATTTCCATCAATTAAATAATTTTTAGAAATTAATTTTCTTCCTTATTTTAAATTTCCTGATTTTTATTATTTAAAACTAAATAATTAATAAATAAAATGCAATAAAAATGATGAACAATATTAATTTAACAAAATAAAAAAGCTTAATTAAATAAATAAATCCATATTATTACTTCATAAAATTACTTTATTTAAGCTAAAAATCTAAAAAGAGGAAAAACTACAAAAATAATTTCTCAACTTTATAATTTAAAAAAGAAGCAAATTCTTAACTTTTTGTCCTGAAGTGTACAAGAATTGACGAAAAAATTATATATATATATATATATATATATATATATATATATATATATATATATATATATATATATATATATATATATATATATATTCATATATTTATTCACTTTTAGGACTTTAGAAAGTACTGTAGGTTTTTCGTAATCACGCCAAGGGTAGGTAACTCAGAGAGTCTTTAAGAGAAGAAGCATTGACTAAATTGGATATGAAAGCCACGACCTTCCCATCGAATCTCATCTTTAACTAAATTCACACTAATTAGTTTATAGTATAGTACCTTCCTAAAAACTTGGTACAATGCTTCATAAGATATTATTTATTTAACGTTTGTGTCCATTATTTCTTTGAATCTGTTTTACATCCCCTTTCTATTACTCTCAAAGCGAAGGGTGCGTGAACACAAAGAAGAAGAAAGATTTGTCTACCGTCTAACTCTGGTGCTAGATTTAAAAATGTATCCTTGCACTGTGGTTGCTCCTTTTTTCTGTACTCGTGTATGACGACGATGTGGTGTGTCGTTTGTTTTTCTACTACGACAAACAAAAAGGGAATGTGGATTATCGAAAAGATGGTGGAAAGGAAAGAAAAACTATTTTTGGGGGCCACCACCATTGCAACAGAGAAGTAACAAAAAGATACAAATCGTTTTCTTGGATCATCAAAGGAAAATTTAAAAAAAAAAAAAGGAAAATATATTTAAAAAAAGAAAAACGAAAACAAACAGGAAAAAATAACTGATTTTTTTTATTTTCTTTGTTGCTATGTAAATTGCCTTAAAATCAGTTTAATTGGGTTTTTTAAAAAAAAAAAAAAAAAAAAAAAAAGGGGTAACAAAAATCCAACACAAAAAAGCACACACACACACACAAGATCTCCTTGTTGATGGGGGAAAATCATTTTAGTTTTTTAGCCCTTACACCGCGTAACCGATTTTTATCGTTTTTACATCCACCCGATTCTTTTTATGACAATGTACCCTGCTACTATTTAATAATTTGTTCTCTAAAGAGGAAGGGTAGATCTCATTCTTTTTGCATTGCTATTTTTCTAGTAGTTTTTTTTTTATTTTTTTTTTTTTCGTTGCATGTCCCCCAAAAAATTAATTCTAGTTAACCTTTGCAACACTGTTGATTGATAAGACAGTAAAATTCGACCATTATTTAATATGCAATTTCCAAAAATTGTTAATTTCCTCTTTTTGTCAGTTTGACATTACAAATTTACTGCTGTACGAGTTGATGAAAAAAAAAAAGAAAAATAAGAGAAGTCAATTATTTTTAGAGCAAAAACAAATTGTCAGCCTATTTTATATCTTAATTTTTTCTCTTGTAAGAAGAGAATTTACATTACAATGAATAGGACTTTTGTGTGATATATTTATTTTTCATTATTAATATCCATTCGGTCTTTCTTTATCGTATGACTACATGTGACTGCTGCACTCTATAAAACCTTTTTTTAAAAGTTGAAATGGCTATAAGAAAAGACAAATCAATAATAATATCTTTGTTTAATGGTTAGAGGGAGATACCGTTATTGTTTTTTGTTGCTTTCTCAACGGAATAGGTAAAGTTTTTTGGGGTAATTTTTTTTTTTTTTTTTTTTTTTGCTGTTTTCTTTTGAAGAAAAAAAATCCCTCCCCCCCAAAAAAAAAATTTAAAAAAAATTAAATGGATCACCAAAAAGACGACACTGGCACATCGTTGTCGTCTTCTGATGATGATAAAACAGCAACAACATCAAAAACATCTGACAACAACATTGCTAACAACTGTGATGAGACGAAAGGCAAAAGTGCCAGTGACGATGATAATAGTAAAAAAAGCGAGGACCCTTCTTCTTGTACAATGACGACCACAACGGAAAAAGAAGAAGAAGGTCTTAGTTCTCCTAAACACGATGAGAAAACGAAAACCTCTTCGGCCACCCCCTGCAAAGCTGCAGTAACAACCCCTGCCCCCACAAATGCTATTAATCTTTCTTCTAATAACACACCCCGGTCTATGTATCCTCCTCTCAGTTGTACTTCAACTGTCGGCCCGACAAACACATCTACTACTACTACTACTACTACCACCACCACGGGCTTTGAAAATAATAATAATAGTGGTGGTGGTGGAAGGGAAGGCCGCTCAAGTACTAATGGTAGCGGCGGTGATAGCGACAGTTGTAAAATAGAGGCACATACAAAAAGTGAAAATAATAATAATATTAACAGTAGTAGTAGTGAAAATAACAATAATCATTGCTTTGGTGGTGATATTGGAGGTGGTGTAGGTCTATCGGTAAGTTCTGTTGTACCCCCCAGCTCAACGGCTGTACCGAGCAGTGACCTAGGATCAGGTTCTATTGCTGCTTCTACTACAGATATTGATACTACCCGTGCCATTGATACTACGACTGCGAACGGTGGTGGTAGCAGAAAACCTGCTGCCATGGCCAACAGATCCTCTACTTCTCCCCACACATCGACGGCGACAAATGGTGTTGTTGTTGTTACTCCTGGAGCAGGGGGTCTGTCCGCTATGGACGTGGCTGTGATAGCTAATACCACTAACGATATGCAGAACCGACATTGTCAGGAATCCGGAGAAGGGGACGATCCCGAAGGAGGAGAAGGGTCCGAACAAGCTGAAAGCGAACCCGGGAATAATGGACAAAAAAAACAGCAACCACAACAAAAGCTAAATGCCGACAGTGCAACCGTCGGCGATAGGGGACAACCGTCTTCTTCACCATCGTTGTTGTTGTCTTCTTCGTCGGCGGTATCTGCTTCTTCTACGCTTTCTTCTCCATCGTCCTCTTCTGCAGTGTTGGCGGCTGATACCACCACAGCAACAACCTCCACATCTGCCCTTTTACAACAATCTACAACAAATTCGTCTTCTTCTTCATCGTCACCTCTAACGACGACGACGACAACAACAACAACAACCACAACAACATCAACTGCTTCATCTTCATCCTCATCATCTTTATCCTCATCTTCATCATCATCATCAACGTCGTCGTCTTCAACATCAGCTGCTGTAGCCAGCAAAGCAAATGAAGCTGGCCCAACAACAGCAAACCCCAGGCCAACGGACGAAACCCTGGCCCAACAACAACCACAACAACAAAGCCAACAACAACATAGTGGTAGTATTACATGTGCTGTGTGCGGATCCGGCTTCAAAGAATGTATACCTAACTTATTGCCCTGTCTACATCAACTTTGCGAAGGGTGCTTGGATAAAATCAAGAATGAAAACGGTAGGTACCCCTGGGGGTGGAGACAAGATTTCAGCATTTTACAGGTGGCTTTTTCAAGCCTGACCCATGTGATCAGCCAAGCTGCCAGCCAGACACACACACACACAAAAGAGAAGAGGATATGCCGGTCTTCTCTTGTTTTATTTAAAACATGACATACACCTACCAGAAAAAAAAATTAATAAATAAAAGCAGGAAGAAAAGCATGACAAAAAAATATATTAAAAAATAACGATGACTTCAATGAAAACATCCTTTAAGCTTAAAAAAAATAAACACGTTTTTAATTAATCTACCTACAATTTCTACATTCTATACTACAATATTTAATTTAAAATTAGGTATTTGTTTTTTTTCTTTCGTTCTTGAAGATTTCTCTTATTTTTGCAATTATAATCCATGTTTAGTTTCACTTATTACCATTTTGGCATTTACTATTTTCGTACAAAAAAAAAAATTTTTTTTAAAAATGTAATGTTTCTTTAATTAATCGCCTTTTCAATTGATTTATTCATGAAAAAAAATGTAAATTAAAAATTTTAAATCTTTTTTAAATGTAAAACAAATTTAATGTTTTTAAAAAAAAAAAAAAAAACTCTAGTCGGGACATTTTTGTCAACTAGTGTAAAAGAAATATTAATTTCCTCTCTGTGTAATTATTAATTTAATCTACTATTTTGTTTACTTTGAGTTAAAAATTTTACTTCATTTTCTAAAGCAAAAAAAAAAATCTAACTTTTTGGGCTGACAAATATTTGGTGCTTAGCTTTCTTGTAAATTCCGCACACATTTTTGACCATGATAGCTGGATTTGTTTGAACTTTATCGTGTCTCTTTATTTATTACTGCTAAAAGTGTTGAGATATATATATATTTATTATTGCTCCTTAACTTCAATCTGTGGTTGCACAAATTTTTCTTGTTGGCATTTTCTTATTAAAAATACCCAAATTTTTTCAGATGCTTTTTTAAATACAGAAACAAATTGCCAGGCTATTAACAGCCATGTATTTTTTTTTTCTTTTTTGTAGGAAAACCACTTCTTTTTTTTCTTTTTTTTTTTAAATATATCGACATTTTTAAGGTAAAAACAAATAAAATCTGCTGAACTCTGTCTCGGGAAAGAAATAAAATAATGCTGCAAAAGGAAAACCTTCCTTATGAACATAATTTCCAATTCTCACGCCATCAAAATTTCCACGTTTTCTTTCCATAAACATCGTAAATTTTAGATTGTCTTTATTATTAAAGCTTAAAGAAAGCATAAAAGGTTTGCTTTTATTATCGGTGCTTTTAAATTTGGGTTTTTTCTTTCAAGACTTAAAATTTAAAAAATTCTATTTTTCCGACAAAATCTTTTTCAATTTTATATTTTAAAAAAAATGTGATCCTAATTTAGAAATTCTGACTTCGTTAACTTTTTTGGTGTTTTTAAAATAAATTTAAACTTGTTTTGCATTTAAATCTTTAAATTAAAATAAAAACTCGTAGAAATCGATAAATCTTATTTTTAAGAATTTGTTTACAGATTTTCTGCCATCGGCAATTAAAAAAAATAGTTTGATTAAATTTATTAGATTCTACTGTTCCGTTTCGTTCGTCTCGTCTTGTAAGAAGAATAATAATGTAGGCCATTTTAAATCGTTTGGCTTCTCTCCGACAATGTCGAAAATTTTGACAAGTTTTTTTTTTGTTTTGTTTTTAATCGTTAACTTTGTATCTTTTCGATTCACTAATAAAATAGTTATAAAGTAGAAAGCAATTGACATATTTTTGCTCGCAAAAACATGAAATTTGAATCATAAACGTTTTTTTTTTCTTCCTCTCTATATAAATTAAGTGGTCTTTTTAAGAGGTGAATTATGTACGAATTATTTACAATGTTTCGTGAGAATTTTTAAAAATTAATTTGTCTTAGAAAATATCTTGAAGAAAAAAAAAACTTTTGAAATACCAAATTAAATGTCTTGTATTAATTTATTTTAAAGTTTGAAAATTCAGCAAAAAAAGATACTGCTAATGACTAGAAACTTGATTGATCTTGTAACTGTGGAGGCCATTTTTTTTTTTTTTTTCTATCGCTTTATAAGTTTTTCTTTATTGTTTATTTGAATCACATGCCAATTTGAGTTGTTTTTGTTTGATTAAATATTTATTTGCTTAGGGAATTATTAATTTCGTACTTTATCAGAAAAAAATATTTCTCGCAATTTGAAAATCGTATTATTTCAGTACTGAAAGCGGAAAGCCAAAATTCGGTTCTTTAGAGAACTCTCGTATTTACTATTTTTTTTTTATTATTATTCATGTCAAATACTTATTTCCTTCTCCTTTTAGAAAGAGTTTTTCATAAATATTTATTTGTAAATAATCAAACTAAGAAGCGATGATTAACAAGGCCATTATTCACAACAGAAATAGAAAAAAATATTTTAATCGTTTTTTTTTTTTTTTTTTTTTTTTTTCGGAATGGATTTGGGGTTTTTATATAATTCAAAAGTCTTTTCGGAAATTAAAATCTAAAAATAAAAGTGCTTAATAAATCTCCATTGATATTACTACTGCTTGTTGTCCTCCTAAAAACCACGTTTAATGTCATTCATTTCGAGTCATGTGTGTAGACATGCTCTCGTTCCTCTTATGGAGAAATGACATTAAAATGTATTGATATTTTTATGGCTAATGTCCTTTCCTTCTTTTGTCATCACCTTCATCAAAGTAAAAGAATTAAGACTTTTACGATCATGTCGGCCACATTTTTGATTGAAAATTCATTCCTAGTTTCTTTCGTGTCTGCACGATATCTCGAGGCTTTTTCCGTACTTCTCTTTTCTAGTCTAGTCGGCATTTTAAATTGCTGCTTTTTCTTCCTTTGCTTGTCTGTCTTGTCCGTCATGTTGTTACTGTTATAAATGTAGCAATGGCGTCAAGTACGCTTCTTCTAGCCAGCAACCATCACGCTCTTTTCTCCCTCGTCTCCATAACATTATTTTTGCTTCATTATTTTCGTTTTTGTCTGTTTTAGCTTTTTTTTTAATTTAATTCTTTCTTTTTCTCGTAACTTGTTTATGAAGTAAAGTTTTTTTTCTTCCTTTTTGAAGAAAAAAAATGTTGATTATTTTTAAAATTCTTTCTGCTGACATCTTAGATCAAAATGTCAATTATTTTAAAGTTTCGATAAATATTTGCCCGAAGATAAATTTAGTAAAAATAAAATGGTCTTGTTTAAACTTTAAAGTCTCTACGTTTTAATATGAATGAGTATTAATAAGAGAAAATTTCTTAATTAAAACTTGCAACTTTTTATTTTTTGCAATAAAAACAAAATCAACACTGACTGATTTTTCATTAAAAAGAAAAATAACTTTAAAAGAAATCTTTCAAATTTCCTTTTTTGCATTTCTTCTGGACATTTTACGACAAGGTGGTCATGTGATCAAAACACGCCTTTTAATGACTTTTTTTTTTATTTTTAATCTGTCGTAAAGTGGTTTTCTTATTTAGTTTTTATCGTTATTCACTCTAATTAGTTTTTAATTTTTTAATGATTTTGGAGAAGAAAGTTTAAGAGATTTTTGACAATGGTGTATGTCTTTTTAATTAAAATAAAATCTTTCTTTTTTTTTTTTTTTCAAAACTCTCCTTAACTGTATAAAAATAATTCAAATTAATAAATTAAATAAATACCCACAGTGCATTCAAGCAGAAAAAAAATCCCCGATATCTTGACCCAAAAATATTTCTTATTTCTTGATCTAATTTTAAAAGCATGGTTAAATGCTTCTCGCATTTCTTGATATTTTATTGTGCGTGTGCAAATGGCGAGGTGTGTGTGTGTGTTTTCAGTTTGTCAAGTCGTCTCCTCGGAGCAACAAAAAAAAAAAAAAAGCAAACGGGCCCAACTATGTCGCTTCTTCCTTTATTTATTCATTTTTTAGTGTCGTCTCCCCTGATTTCATTATTCTATTTTATAGTCTCTCCGCTTTTTATGTCGGCTGCAATTGGAATTTTCTCGCCTTTCCATAGAGTAGATCCCCCCCCCATTTTCTTTTTATTATTATTAGTGCAAATATTTTTTTTTATTTCTTTGTTTGTAAATAAAATGGCAAAATTAAAAACGGGAGGGGGGGGCAACGAATAAATTTCTTTTAAATGGCTTTTGTTTTTATTTTTTTACGCTTGATCATATTTTATAATTTTTTATATTACGAACTCGGCCACTAGAGAATATGAAAGGAAAACAGTTCTTCAAAAATTAAGTTAAATTCCGTTTATTTATTAGTTGCATCAATATTTACAACGAAACACACACAGAGAAGAGTTGATATTTTTTTTTCCTGTTCTTGTGGAATGCCGAATTGTTTAATTCTGCCAAACGCCAAAGTTGCTTCCATCTGGTCACGTGATCGGACACACTTCCTTCGCCCATGTGGCTTAGTCGAGGAGATTATTAGAGTGGCGATTCTTTTCTTTCCGAACCTGTTTTGAATCTTAAAAAAAAAAAATGTCCCCCCTTGTCTTTATAAATACAAATAAATGTCGTTTATAATTACGCGTTAAAATAGTTAGAATTGTACCAGCAGAGCAATAACATTTTAATTTGTTAATCCAGGAATAAAATTAAAAAAAAATCATTCTGATGATTATGAAAAGATGTATTTTTTTTGTTTTGGGTGACAATTTACCGATTTTGACTTTCGTTTTAAAAAGAGAATTGAACTTTGGCTTCTTCCGATCAGAAATACACAAACAAACGAGCTTACTTCATCTGCAAAATAATTTCTTTCTTTCTTAAACATTTTTGTATATTTTCGAAGCAAGAGAGACGGGGAAAAACTGATTTTTAGTAGTTTATTGATTTAAAAAAAAAAAAAAAAGGATCGTTAAGTTGAAGTAAATGCCATTCTGTTCATATTTTTTTTATAAAACCTAGTAATGCAGTCGAATTTCCATTGTAATTAAATAAAGAAACCTTCATTTTTTTTTCTTTTTCTTTAGTT